TATTGTATTGTCAACCACTCTCACTATGATCGTTGGGAACAAACGATTGGATTTACAACTATCTTTCTTTACTTAACAAATCTCTGTTTACAAGCTTAATAGAAAAACATTATTCAGAGAAAAGGTGGAAAGCTATCATTGAACATTGACTGGATATAGAAAATATTATTTTATATTGTCTAAACTCTTACACCTTATTCTATCCGTTGGGAACTAACCGTTGGTGCAGAAAAAGACTTCTCTTTCCTCACCAACGTCTCTCTCTATTAAAGCTATAAAAGAAGATCAAAGATTCAAAGGAAAGTTGCCTTTGGCCAAACAGAGCTTCTCCTGTGAAAGGAAAGTAGTGGATGTTGAATATGTTAAAGCTGCAATGCTACACATTCTGAAGACCACCAAAGAAGAGAGAAAAGAAAGAAAGAAGATTTCAATAAGATGTAATTCAACTATCATCATATACATCTTGGGTGAAACATAAGAAGCAAGGAGTTGTTGCTCGTAGCTTGCTCAAGAAGAAGAAGACTACAGGATGTTATTCAACTTTCATTCACATACATCTTGGTAGATCTTAGAAGAAGCAAGGAGTTGTTGCTCGAAACTTGCTCAACAAGAAGATGAAAAAGAACACTACAAGATGCTACTCAAACTTTTGATCATATACATCTTTGCAGAACATTGTAATGAACACATGATTTGTTGTTCGTATTGTGTTTCTCTTTGAATCTCTTCATTTAAATTGTTTTAACACTTTAGTTGTTGCTCAGAAATGTATTAAACAATATATGCTTAAAACACTTGTGTAATCTTCTTAGAAGAAGCAATCATGTAAACACAAGAACACCATCAACTATTGTTGATTGATTCCTTGGGAGACTTGGTTAAGGTCAGATCTCAAGAAGATAATGGTTGAAGGTCATTATAGGAAATCTTGATAGGAGATCTTGTGGGACCGAATTATGTTGGGTCAATGATAGTCATGTTCAAAAGGGACCGAGTGAAGGTTAGACTCTTGTGAGATAACTGATGGATATCATTGTGAAGAAATCTTGGTAGAAGATCTTGAGGGATCATATTCTATTGGGTCAATGAACGTTATATCTGGTTCGATCACTGAATGTGTCACTATGTGTTAGCCACCGGAGGTTGCCCGTGCACTTGTAATCAATTTGGTTATAGTGGATTAAGTCCTTGGATAAGGCGAAATCATCCTTGAGGGGGTGGACAGGAGTAGCCTAGTTAACGGTGAACCTGGATAAATTACTTGAGTATTTTAATCTTCATTGTCTTTATAGATATCATCTATTGAGTGCTTAGAATTTCTAAAAGGGGATATTTTCTATGAACACAATTCAAACCCACTTTCTTGTGTTTTCTCTACTTTCAGGATTGTCGTCACGAGGGTGTGCCAATCTCTACATGTAGCATGGAGTTTTCCCCGTATACCATGGAAATCAAGGTTTCCTTGCTGGTGGAGTATGGAGTGGTGTGGTATGACCGTAGTATGTCATGGAGTAGTTCCGCCCACTAACCTTTGGTGTCGTCAAGTTTCTTCATCAGTCTCTTAAGAATTACTTTGTTCACCGATTCCGCTTAACTGTTAGCTTAATGGTGTACAAAAGATACGAATTTCATTTGTACTCCCTAATATTTACAGAAGTCAGTGACCATAGTGTTGGCGAATTAGGTCCCATTGTTGGAGACAATGGCCCCGGGGATTTCATATCTGCACATAATCTTCTGCCACTAGAAACAATGCACTTTTTCCGTTGTAATCTTGGTTATTGCTTTTGATTCTATCCATTTAGTGAAGTAGTCGACTCTTAATATTATGAACTTCAGTTGACCTGGTGCCAAGGGTGTCCATGCCTCATTGGTAGAAAGGTCAGAGCAAAATCATCGACTGAAGAAGTTTTATTGGGGCGTGTTGAAGGTCAACATGTCTCTGACATTGATTACACCTCTTGATAAAGGCGATGCTATCTTTCATTAGGGTAGGCCAATAATACCCCACTTTTAATAATTTGTGTGCGATTTGTGAGAGCTTTTCCTTCAATGTTTCTGGTGAAGACGCCCTTGTGTACCTCCACAAGAACCATGGTGGTTTCATGCTTGCACAAACATCATAACATGGGACAGACTCTCCCCATTTTATATAATTTTCCAAAAGAGCAGGGTGTACTTAGCAGCCTATTTCAGATCCTTCTTACATCTCCCTCGCCTTGTGGAAATTCGCAAGTCTGTATATAACGCAGTATGGGCAACATCTAACTGAATTCTGGGATAACCTCAAGGGAATACACGTCGTCTACCTCTAGTGGCGGATCTTGCACAAATTATTAGGAGAGCGGTAAATTTCGACTAAAATATTATAGTTAAAATTTATAAAAGTATATAAATATAATTTATTTTTCTTAAGTTTAATAATTGTATTCCTTTAGAAAATACAGAAATAAATTAAAATATTACCAAATATCAAGAATTTAATTTTTACAACATCAATATAAAATATTCAAACTAAAACCATTAAATAATATTCAAATGACCAACTCTTATCAATTTTTTATATGTTTAATTTTATAATAATAATAATAATAATAATTATTATTATTATTATTATATTATTATTATTATAATATTTTTAAGACTTCAAACTAATTTACAATAAAAAGACAGGACACTTATGATTAAAGAGAAAAATAAGACCTTTTTTTTTATAGAAAATAGACTTAATAAAAAACAAGACTTTTCAATTAAAAAATATCATTATTATCTATTAAATATTAATCTGTTAGGATATTTTAAGTAGGCTTAGTACATTAGTCCAATGATGCTGGGTTAGTAATAAAAAGTTCAAGTCCGTAACATAAAGTAATCCTAATTTGATAATTTTCTTACACCTCTACCAACCAGTTGTCTCTAATATTAGAGCATCCACATCCATCATCTCTTCACGGGTTCTTTAAATGGGACTCACTTAATTTTTTATATTATATCACACTTTCACATTTTCTAAACAACCCAATTATATTTTTTAAATATCCATACAACCCATCAAAAACTTTAAAATGGATCCCACCAAATCTCACAATATATTTCACATTATTATTATTATAAAAAATATATAATTGAAACAATTTAATTCAAATATATCAAAATACATTAAAAAGAATTGTACATTTAAAATGAAATAAAATTTAAATAAATGAATAATTAAATATATTACTTAAAAAATATATTAAAAAACATAAACGTTAAAATAAATTACTTAAAAAATACATTAAAAAACATAAACGTTAGAATAAATTACTATAATAAAATACAAGAAAACGATATATTTAAAACATGTTTCAATTGTTACTATTCTCTGGTCCATAACGTTGCCATATATGTTCTATCAAGTCACGTTGAAGGTGTCGATGAATTTGTTTATCACGAACATCAAATCTTCTACGTAGGAACTCTTGAAAATCAATATTAGAATCATTCGGCAATGTTGTCGCGTCATTGCTCAAATGATCATAAGAAAAATCAAAATTTCCACCATATGTGGAACGTTCATCTTCAACAATCATGTTGTGTAATATTATGCATGTATTCATTATGCGCTGGAGTGTGTCTAAGTGCCACGATCGTGCTGGGTTACGTATGATCGCAAATCGGGATTGAAGAACTCCAAATGCTCATTCAATATCCTTTCTCGCGGCTTCTTGATGTTGGGCAAACAATTTTCTCTTATCCCCTTGTGGCATCAGGATACTTTTCACAAACGTGGCCCATTCAGGATAAATACCATCTGACAAATAATAACCCTTGTTGTATTCAGTACGATTGATTGTATAGTAAACCTCGAGAGCTCCTCCTTGTAGAACATCGTTGAAGACATTAGATTGGTTCAACACATTAATATCGTTGTTTGAACCCGCTACCCCAAAGAATGCATGCCAAATCCACAAGTCTTGTGAAGCCACTGCTTCAAGCATAACAATTGGTTTCCCATGATCGCCTCGAACATACTGCCCCTTCAATGCAACCAGACAACTTTTCCATTCCTGGTGCATACAATCGATGCTCCCTAACATACCTGGAAATCCTCGCGCCTCTCCCATTCGCATTAGGCGTTCAATGTCTTCAGTGTTTGGCCTTCGTAAATATTGTGGCCCAAAGATGTTGATCACTCCTTTTGTAAACTTATCAATACATTTTAGTGTTGTGGTTTCACCAATTCTCAAATAATCATCCACACTATCAGCAGATGTACCATATGCCAACATACGGATAACAGCAGTGCATTTCTATAATGGTGAAAGACTTGACCTACCAGTTGCGTCAACCATCATTCGAAAATACTCATCATGCTGACCCAGAGCTTCAACAATACGAAGGAACACGTGTTTATGCATTCGGTACCTTCGACGAAACTGCTCATTCGTGTATACCGGAGTTTGTGAAAAATAATCATTGAACAATCGATCATGTCCATCTTCACGATTCCTCTCTATATTCCTTCTTTGACGTCTAGGCCTTTTAGAGCTCGGGGCTTCTTCTTCCATAACCAACCTCACAAGTTCTTCATCCATATCATCATTCATATAATCCATGAACATTTTTGCGATATGGGAAGGATTGGAAGGATCCATGTGAAAAGAAGTTTGATATTGAGTGGAAGATGATAACAAATTCTATAGAATGAAAAAGGTTGAGAAATCTATGAAGCTTAGTGTGCATGTTAATACTATTTATAGGACTAGTTTCTAACGGCTAGTTTGACTTTGAATAACGGCTAGTTTGAATAACGACTAGTTTGACTTTGAATAACAGATAGTTTGAATAACGGCTAGTTTGAATAATCAAAATTTAAAAATAGATAATCTTACTAATTAAGTCCATACCAATTAAATTTAAAATACATAATCATACTAATAAAGTCCAAAATACATAATTATTCTAATTAAGTCCAAAATACATAATCCTACTAATTAAACCCAAAATACATAATCATACTAATTAATTCCATATTTTTCTCTAATCATGTCGCACAATATTTCATGAGCTTGTAGTTGTCGTGTATCCATATTTGATGTATCTTTGGAGAGTATTTACAGATCATTCATCTTCAATCTTTCCTCCGCACTCTCAGCCTTCTTAATCTTTGCATCAACCTTTTTTCTTTCTATCTCAACTTTTTCACCCTCAATGCGTGCGTAGTCTCGTGCAAACGTTGACATCAAATCAATTTTTTTTTTAAAGTCATCTTTCAAAGACTCATATTTGACATTGGGAGTAGTTGACATTTACACAAACTTTTCCTTCTCTTTCCTTTTGGCTTCCTTTTGACCGATTGGACGACGTGACAAAGTAGGCGATGGTGGATTGTATCCGCTACTCGTTGGTGTCGGTGGATTAGAAGATGAAGAATATGCTCCTGAAGCTGAATTCTTTGTTCTTTTTGTAGAAGCTTCCGATGAAACCGCGAGCCATTTAGGTTCATCTTTCAATAATCTCCATGCAGCCTCAAATATAAACTTTTCACCTTCATCTTGAAAATAAATTTTATATGCAGCTTGCATGATATTGCTCTCGGAGCTCCCACTTTGTTGTGTAGACACAGCTTGTTTGTAGCATCCAACAAACTTTTGAACAGATGGATTAATTTTGTGCCATCGACCTTTAAGTGCCATCGGTTTCCTCTCTTTGTAATTGGTGTCACGATGCTTGTTGTAAGCTTCGCCAATCCTGTTCCAAAAACTATCTCCTTTTTGATCAACCCCAACAATTGAATCCTTTGAAACATTGAGCCATGATTGAATAAGAACTTCATCCTCTTTTGTTGGAACCTTTGTTTAGGCGTTTTTGCAACCAGTGCAGATGCAACTTCTTCACCAAGGTTAATAGTTTCTACGCTACCTTGAGTGTAAAATTGTTGTGTTTCATGTTCTTGATCATTTGATTGCACACCACTACTGCCTATTTGAGCCACATGAGGAATAGTGGGGTTAGTTGGTTGAGATGTAAGTTATTGATATTGATATGGATAAAGTGGAGTATGATATGAGTAATTTCCAAAGTGTGGATTATTTTGTGAATTTGGGATAAAATGAGAGTTTTGAAAATTTGGGTTATGGTGTGAATTTGAGATAAGAGGTACATTTCCGATGTATGAGTTGCTTTGTTGATTTGGAATTGAAGGAAGAATACCACCATTTTGCATAAAATTAGACCAAGAGTTATGTTGATTGGGATCCATTGACAAATGAATGTGCAAGAAGAAAAAAATAAAAATGATATAAAATAAATAGTTGAAAATTAAACTAGTGGTAAATCAAAATTATAATAAAATGAGGAACTATTTATTATGTTAAAAATTCTTACCGTTAGAAAATTCTTACTGTTGCATTCTTTCAACTTTCAAAAAAAATTGAAATTAAAATTAATATTTATGGCTTGTAACAATTTCCATTAATGATATAACCATTACTTTTTTACACTTGGCAAAAAAATCAGTTAGAGAGCGTGGTTAAATAAGAGAACATGCATGAATGTAGGAACGCTACTTTATCTCAATTATCCAAATATTAAAAACAAATTTATTAAAAACTGTGTAGCAGCGACACTTTGTCAGCCGATAATTATGCTCTTATCTCTTTTCTCTGGCTTTCTTTTTAGCTTATAGTTTTTTATTTCCTTATTTTTATTTTTTTAAATATAGATTTTCATGTTCTTTCGGCATTCTCTAACACACATTTTAGAACTATTTGTTTCTATTTTGTTTATGTTTTTCAGACTTGAACATCATGTGTATTTTTTAAAAAAAAATTAAAAAATGGATGGGTACTACTGCACCTACCATCCCTCTAATAGATTCGTCAGTGTCTACCTCTATATTTAGGAAGGCTATGGTCTCCTAGATTATTGCTTTTTTAAACCTCGTCGTATTTGACGTGACTAGTTTGGATAGAAAGTTTGTTCATAAGTTTTGTTCGCGGGGGACGTGTTCTGTTTCAAAGGAAGAGAAGTAAGAGGATAAAATTTGCACCTTTTGAAAATATCTTATCAATTGAGACTCCTTGGCTTGGTACATCCCAGAGACTTGGTTGGCGATTAGTTGGGAGTCACTGTCGGCCTTCAACTTGAAGTTCCCATTTATAAGGTGGGAATTATTTCGATGATGAGAGCCTCGTACTTCGCTTGGTTGTTGTTGGCGATGAACTCGAATTTTAAGGCTTGCTCGATGAGTATGTTTCTAAGTCCTTTTAGGACTATCCCGGTACCTCTCCCTTTTATGTTGGAGACGTTGTCTACATATAACACCCACTTTATGGGCATCTCCTTGTCTACAAGCGAGTTTAATGATGCTACAAAATCTGCCAGAGATTGTGACTTTATGCTCCCCCTATTGACATATTGGATGTCGTATTCTGAGAGCTCCACTGTTAATTTCTTAAACAAGGACTGGGCTTTTCTCCTGATTTATGGCCGAGAGGTAGAGTAACAACGACGACCCCTCTCTCCAGAAATTTAAGACGGGTGTGAGGTGTGAGGAATTTCTTGACTTTGGTGAAAGCCTCATCGCACTCAGGATTCCACTTGAATCTATCCTTCTTATTTAAGGCACTGAAGAAGAAAAAGGATTTGTTGCCTGCACAGGAAAGGAAGGGAGAGTTCTTATCTTTATGTCTCCAGCCTACTTGGGTAGCGCTCGCGAGCCACCTTTTAGTCCCATCGGATTGTACCAACTCGTTGATAACACGAAAAATTATAGCATTTTCCATCTGAATTACATAGATAAAGCTTCTGGTTCTTCATTTATTATGTCACATTATATCTCTATTTGTAGTATTTGCAGCATATTTCAGGTATTTAGTTTCTGCAAAGCATACATGAGAAAAGGAAGAAGAATATTGGAGAAATGAAGAAGAAATGACACTTTAGCAGCAAAAACGCAAACATTCTGTATCAGAAGCCATGCCGCCCGTCATAGGCGCATGCCTCCCGTCACAAAGTCCAAAAGTGTACCCCTCAGCACACTTCTTATCCCGACCGACACTGAATGAAAATATGTGCCCCATGCCACAACGCATGACACTCGTTACAAGTCACATATCAGTTACGAAAATGTCTCCATGAAGTGCACGATTTGCTGAAAATTCTCCATGATTGAAGAACGAGGATCAAGGGAGTATTCCTATTTTTGCTCAACACATGGAATCTATAAAACCAAGACAGTTACCAAAAAATTTTACGTTCGCACACCTGCTCCAAATTTCTTATTCTTTCTGCATACTGCAACATTGCTATTTCATTCCAGTTTTACAGTTTTTGATATTTTTCCAATTTCGTTTAGAATTTTCGTAAGAAAAGAAAACCATTACCATTAAAGTAATATTTCTTCACATCGGAGGTATATTGCAACTTTAGTTTCTTTCTAGCTTTTAGAATTTCGTTTAGGTTTATTTGTATTTCGTCAAGATATTTTATTCCAAAGTTAATCCTACCAGCTTATAGAGGATAGCATACTGCACTATTGTTTTATTCATGTTCCAATTTTAAATATAGTTTATTTATTTTTTTACCATGCCTATGTTACTGTATTCATGCTTTTATTTTATGTTGTTATGCAATAAAATTATGTTTGGCTAACTTTTCCGATACCAGTATGTGAAGTCCTAACCGAAGGGATTCAGTAATTAATTGGCATAAATATTTTACAAAAGACTTTTCTGGTTTTGATTTCCAATTTGGATATTAAATTGTTTTGTTACGAGAGTAAAAGACAGACTAAGGATAAAATCAACAGAGTGAGAGTTTGAGATTTTAATCAGATAGTGGTAATTGAACATTAATTTTAAAAACAGCGATAACACTTTAAAATTAATTGGACTCTATTTATTTTCAAAAAATACTTATAAATTTTAAATGACACAGCGAGAGCGCTCATTTGAGTTTAATAATATGGCCTGAATCGATAAAATGAAAGTGTGATACAAGGGTTTTTTAATTAATAGTTTCCACTAAAACAATGTTTTAATACTTAAAACTATGCCAATGACTTATTGAATCCTTGAAGTTGACAAATTACATACCGATGTCCCGTTATCAATTATTAGATTTTATTTAATTCTCGTTTAAACCCCAACATCCTAATTTTATAATTAACTTTAGCTTTACATAGTGGCCCTAGATAACAGTAGTCTGACCATCAGTCCTTGTGAGTTTGATATCTTTTAAAACTACGCGATTAGATTGTAAACTTGCAGTCACTACACCCGACAGACTCTCAAAGTCGTGATCACTCATTCATCGGGGAGCAAATATTTTACAGTCAGGTACACAGTGGATACTTTTGCTCCCAGGGCCTTGATAGCCAACCTCCTAAGAATGATGTCATATGGTAATGCAGCATCTACAATGAGGTAGCTGACGTCAATTGCCTTGGCATCAGTTCCTTCGCCACATATGGTTTCCAGGGTTTTGTGGTCCATTATTTGTACCTCTTCACCTAATAACCCTGTCAAAGAACCACTAAACGTTTTTATGTCGTTAGAATTTAGTTGTAGTTTCTGGAAGATGTCCCAAAATAAGACGTCATCAGAGCTACCATGGTCAATCAAAAACACATTTGATATCCGAGTTCCCTTGTTGCATAATGATGACCAGAGGATCATTATCGTGGGGGTTGAGACCGAGGTCATCCTCCTCAAATAAGATGATATTAACCCTTGTTTCCCTTGAGAGATTTTGGGGAAGCCATGGGATATTACATTTTCTGCTAATACCTACCTTACGTATTTGCTTCGGGAAGATCTAGAGTTACCCCTACCGATAAAGCCTCTGACGCTGGTGTTTGCATTCTAGGTTTTGTTTTTTCCATCCATATTCAGAAGAAAGATGGAGAAAGTTAGATTAGTAGTGTGACCCATATTAATTTTATTGGGGGCCCACAATGGACGCCACTGTAATGATAAAAAATTATAGGTATGTGTGTGTGTGTTCCCCTTACAAGGGTGAGGAGATTTAAAGGCCTTAGTAGGTTCATAACACGGTATGATTGTTATGACTTGTCCACTGCGGTGAGAAGCCTCGTACGATGGTGTTTTGAGGTATTTTAGGAGTCCTAATCACGTGAGGTAAGAGGCTCTGCTGATGACCAGTGATGCTTGGGAGAAAGCGTATGGTTACAATTAGTTGTGTGTTATGACCTTAGTGAGCATTGTGCTCTTTAGGGTGTATAGAATGTGTATGACTTAAGATTTGTCCCTTCTCCCCTTGACGTCGAATTTGAGAATACCAAATTAAGTTCAACCTTCCCGAATTCAATCTTCCTGACTATTCTCTTCCCGACCCAAGAATGGCTGAAGGACCCCAAAATTACCCTCTGAAGGATTATGCTGCCCCATCGCAAGAGGAAACCCACAACAGTATTGCTGCTCCCACCATTGCACGGAACAATTTCGAGTTAAAACCTTCGTTATTACAAGCTGTCCAACAAAACCAATTTTCAGGATGTCCTATGGATGATCCAAACTTTCATTTGTCTGTGTTTTTGCAGTACACAGACATAGTGAAAGCAAATGGTGTCATCCCTGAAGCAATAAGACTTCGTATTTTTCCTTTCTCATTACGAGATAGAGCTAGAGCATGGCTCCAGTCTCTTCCATCCAACTTTGTTACCACATGGAACAAGTTGAAGAAAGTTTTCCTAGCATAATATTTTCTGCCAAGTAATACGACTATGCTAAGAGACAATATCAACGGTTTTAAACAAAAGGAAAGCGAATCTCTCTTCGAAGCATGGGAAAGATACAAAGACATGTTGCGACTCTGTCCGCATCACAGTCTAGAAGAATGGCTGATCATCCACACCTTTTACAATGGTCTCTTGTACAACACAAGACTAACGATTGACGCAACTGCTGTCGGTGCACTGATGGATAAACCATACCAGGATGCCTATCAACTTATCAAAAGTATGGCTCAAAATCATTATCAGTTGGGAAGCGATAAAACCATGGTGGGGAAACCTCAAACGAAAAGCGGTATACACGAAGTTAGTAGCTTAGACCAAGTTAACGCTAAGGTAGAAGCCCTTACCCAAAAGATAGAAAGCTTGACCATAACTCCTGCAACCACCATGGCTGCAGTAGCTCCAACATGTGATTTATGCAGACTTCACGTGCATGCTGCACCCGAATGTTCACTCTTAACAAGAGTACCAATTGATCAAGTGAATTATGCTCAAGGGAACCC